GAGGAGAACCGATTTTATTCATAACAAACATTTTTATTTTGAAATGAATGCACGTAAATTTTAATCTTAAGATAAATCTGCCATCTTAATTAAATTTGAATTAGAATATTCTGATTCAACATTTTCCATTGCATGAGATGTTTTTATGTTGAAATAACAGATCACAGATCTAATCTGTACAGATGCAGCTAAGCTTACCTCTTAATTAGATGTAATCAGAACCCTTTGCATGTAAAAATCTACACTGTAGAAAGACAAACCACAGATTATTTTTTGTTGTAATTTGTTACAGATCCAAGTTATGATCACAAAAGCATATGATCCAGATACACTATGAAGTTAGGCTTTATTTGAGACCGTTTTCTTACTGTTTTTTAAGTAGCTTTTTACTACAAAAATTTTAAATTTTATACTAAAAAACTGTTTTAAGAAGAAGTAAGAATGTTGTTCCAAACAAGAGAAATTATTATGTGTGGAGACCGGACACAGAGACATGTCCGATTTGTCTATGTGAACAGTGAATTGCGCTTTTACTGTTCACATAGACAAAACCGAACGGTTCTCTGTGTTTAATCGGCACGTAATAATCTCTCCCATGGATTACATCGGGTTCCGCCCCTGGTGGGAAGGAAACCGGTGTGGCACTTGCGATAAGGTAGGTGAGTCATGTGCACATATTTCTTAGCGTGGTGGAGTAAAATTTAAGTACTAGTGAATGTGCATGAGTGCCTGCGGGAAAAAAAATTGCTTTTCCAAATAGGTACCCCTGAAGACCCATGCACGTCTTTCTTTGACATGGTGGGATTAAAGATTATAGCCATGGTGTCACTCGATATCGACCATATACATCTTTCTCTGAAGTGGTGGGCAGGTTAAGACTCCTGAAGTTTCCCTTAAATGGGGGAGACGCCAAGAGGATGTTAAAATTTAGACTAAAAACGAACAAGACATGAACAAATCCAGGGGACCAAAACTTAAACAAAATGTAGGGAACTGAATATGCAAATTGGGCCACATGGGATTTGACTTGAACAACGGTGAGGAATAGAACTTATAAAATAAACAACAAAGAATTGGAAAAAAATAATAATAATAATAAAAACAACACAGAATTGGACCCTAAACTTTAAAATTCACAATCAAATTGAAAATACAAATCCTAAAACAAGGTTCAAGTAATTTAATTGAAATCTAATGAATAATCAGAGGACTCATGATGGAAAAATTACAAAATGCCACTTGGTTGCAAGCAAACATCAACATGTAAGAATCGATTGAATTAAGGGGAATAAATAATCTAAGTACAAGCAATTCATCTCAATCAAGGGTGGCATACTCATGAGTAAGATATAAAGGATATGAAATGAATGCAACAATGTCCGGAGGTCAACATCGACATACAAGCAAATATATTCGACCCCACAATAAATGAAAGCTGACATACCAAATCAGCATGGAAGCTGGCATAATGAACACAAAGTCATTGTGCAACGAATATGGTAGCTTGCCAGCCAGCTTGCATAGAGAAATCAATGACAAATGTTACAACACCCTTGCAGTCAATAACAATTTAGTGTCCAGTAAATGCACTAATATATTATAAACAATGGAAGTGGACATGAAATGATTGCAAAGATACCTTCACGATTAATGTCAATCAAGCACCTAACAGAAGCACGAGTACTCTACAAGCCGAAGAGCTGGATATACAACATATGATGAATGCAAAGACACGCAGTGCAACTTACGACGAATGTAAACATCCAGTGACGGTTCATATAAGAGCAAGACTAAAGAACCTGTCATGCACACAATAGTTCACACAAAGGCGTTAACAGGCAACAAGCTACTAATACAATAACATTAGATAGTCAACATCAACTTATTAATGAACACACGTATTCTCCTATAAACAATAATATTTCCTACATACACCAACATGTAGTGATGATAGATGTGTTGCAAGTATGATAGATCTCTTGTGAATATAAAATGCGCATATACCATATTATTTACAAGTGAGCACAACAAATCTATGATAAATATGAGCCCCTACTAGCCACTGCAGGAGATTCATCGGTGCACGACAGTCTACATGCATTAAAGCAGCAAATCACCTATAATTCTACGTTACGATTCATCTGTAAGAAAAAGTAGATAATCAGTGATAAAAACTACATGCCATTGATAAATTGAGATAACAAATTTGTAATGTTAGGCTGTCACATCGGATAAATTAGCTCACTTGCAAGTAACAGGTGGAAGATTCCTAATGCGCCGCACAATGTGTCTGCTGACAGAAATATACTCCTACATGTTGAATGTTGAAGAAAATAATGTCTTACAAAAGATGAAAGGAGCTAAAGAGCACTGTTGATTACAATAAATGAAGTACAATGCTATCCCACTGGATCCACAACACTCGTACGAGTGGACAAAGGGCATTTGTAAATACCAAAATGAAATCATGTGTAATAATCACTCACACAGTTAACCATATCTGAATATTGCAGAAGTACATACCTCATGCATCGAAATACAGGTTGACACATTCACATACATGCATACCTTTACAATATGTATGATGCATTATGCAAATACGCCATTCAATGAGTAAAATGCATCA